GATTTGATCTCACTAGATGGACACACTAAAAACCAGATCGACTTCATCTCAATCTGAAGAAAGTGGAGACGCACTCAGCTTACTGGACACAAGATGAAGAAGGGGAGCAGGTGTATCTTCACGCCACTCACCACTATCTAGTGCAAGAAAACTTCCAAATCAAGTTGATAGCCTTCAACAAAGTTGGTGATAGACCACGGTTCAAGTTCAACGCCCAGAACAAAAACTGAAGGACGAAACTACAAGGGACATCTTCACGTCAGCCATCAAGACAAAATAGGAGATATCGAGCAACATCCCTGAAGAAACTTGTGTGGAAGAACACTGGAACTCTTTGAAAGCTATATGGAAAGAAACCTGCATAACCTTATTAGGAAGGAAGAGGAAACGAGACAAGGAATGGATCTCGACGGATACATGGAAGCTGATGGAGGAGAGGAGGATGGTGAAGCAGAAGATGTACCAGTGCAAGGATGCACAACGAAAAGACGAACTGAGTACAGCGTACAAAACACTAGATGAAGAAGTGAGGAGTTCGCGCAAAGACAAAAGACACTTCTATGACATATTGGCAAGTGAGGCAGAACAGGCAGCAGGTAAGAGAAACCTGAGAACATTGTATCAAATAATCGGGTTACTATCGATCTGGGAAGAGATCAACACAGACGAAATCAATGAATGATGGTGAAGGAAAGTTGGTTAGCGAAGATGAGAAACAAAGGAAACAATGGGCTGACTACTTCAGAAAGCTCTTGAATCGACCACCACCACCACCACCACCTGCAACTAGTCCAGAAATACCACCAGCAACAGCAGAACTACCAATGCACACAGGCCCTCCGACAAAAGCAGAAGTCCTGAATGCCATAAAACTGCTGAAATGCAGGAAAGCAGCAGGACAAGATGGAATCCCACCACAAACACTGAAAACAGACGCAGAGACAACAGCGGACATGCTCACACCACACCACTATTGCAGAAGGTCTGGGAGGAAGGGAAGGTACCTGCAGATTGAAAAAACGGTCACCTTGTCAAACTCCCGAAGAAGGAGACCTCAGTGTTTGCAAGAACTGGCACGGAATCACTCTCTTGTCCATCCTAAGCAAAATATTAAGCCGCATCATCCTGGAGAGACTAAAAGATGCTCTCGATTCAAAATTACGACCGGAACAGGCAGGCTGGATTCAGGAAGTACAAATCATGTGCGGATCAAATCGCAACGCTACGCTACGCATCATCATATAACAGAGTATAGAATGGCAGTCAACTGGATCTCTATCTCAACTTCATCGATTTTGGAAAGGCCTTCGACAGCGTTGACCGAGAAGTAATTTGGCAGCTGCTGCTTCAACACTACGGTGTGCCACAAGTCTTTATCAATCTCATTCAACAACTATATGAAGACGCCACGTGCCGAGTGATCCACAATGGAAAGCTCAGTGATGCCTTTGAAGTGAAGACGGGAGTAAGACAAGGCTGCCGCCTACTTTCACCCATGGTCTTCCTGATTGTGGTCCACTGGATCATACAGCAAACCGTGAGGAGCGAGAAGATGGGCATATGCTGGCTGGACCGATGAAAAGAGCCTAGAAGATTTGGATTCCGTCGATTACCTGTGTCTAGTGTCGCACAAACTCGAAGATCTACAGGCGAAAACTAACAAGTTGTCAGAAGAGGCAGCGAAGATGGGACCTCAAGTGAACGTAGAGAAGACGGAGGTGATGAAGATACACAACGAACACCACCATCACCAACAACAACAAGCACCAATCACCATCAACGGGAGATATTTAAATGAATTAGCCTCTGTTTCATATTTTAGCAGCTTATTTTAAACTGCTGCCGCCGATGGCACAGTGGAGGAAGCCAAACTCAGCATCGGGAGGGCAGCAAGATATGCTTTAATAAATATGAAATTATTGTGGAGATATACTACACTGCATTTAGCGTGAAGCGTGAACAAGTTCTAAATTTTCGGCACTAATTCATTCAAGTGAGTGCTTTTACATAATTGTTGAGGGACTTTGCGCTTTACGGCATTTATTTCCAACAGAGTGCACACATTCAACAATAGTTGTGCATCCAGGTGCAAGAGACTGCTTGAAACAGAGTGAACTGCCGACTATCCACTGAAGCCATATGTTGCACTGGGAACCTAAGGACCATTAAGTACTAATAATAATGTAAACTTTAAGTCTTCAGTCTTATCAGTCAAGTGATTCTTCAGGATGTTGAGTTATATTTGTGTATACTGTTGCAGTTTCCTTTATGAAAAATTAAGTACCTATCTTAATCGTTTTCAGAATTGAGTTTGTCAGATTGGTTTTCATCAGTTTGTTACAACTTTTCACCTGAATTATAACGCTTGATCATACGTTATTCTCAACCTTCATGGTGTTGGTTTATTAAGCATCATCATCATTTCGCCAACATAGGTTGAAGAAATAATACTGCTAATTATGCATTACCAAGTTCAAATTATTTAAAATTTGGTGCAAGACAATGATTTCATCACGGGTATTTGATTGGGAGACGTAAGTTGCATTTTAAACATAATTCATCAAATTATATCTTATTGGTAAGTGAAATCTCAAATTAACAAACGTGATGTAAAGTTTTCTTGAGTTGGCGCCAAGTCTGTACACCAATTTTATCCTAAGACCTTCATTTTCAGAGGGTTATGAGACCAAACATTTTACAGCTGATAAATATTAGGTGGGTTACATTTTTGGAAATCTGTTATAATTTAGTGAAGTAATGTAGAACCTTCAATATTCATAACATGCTTGAGCTTCACTCTTGAACTACAGACTGTAATGATATTATAAATTCAAATTTATAAGTATTCACATCCTAATGCAAAACATTTGCCTAGGAAGTTCCTGTGAAATTACATTATAGTCACAAAGAATGTTTAGGTCTTCAGAATCTTGAGAAGCGACTTCGGAATGTCTAGTTGCATCTGATCAGTAATAAGCATAGAGAGTGATAATTGAATTTCTGTATAAACTACATAGTCAGTAATCTAAACATATACACAAGCTGTGCTGGATAATAAGTGCTTGCTGTCACATTTACCGATCGACAAGTATTTATTCGGTGCTGCTTAATAATACAACAAAGAAAGATACAGATTGAAACCTTATTTTATACACTTATTTTTAATAGTTAGTATAGTTTCTTTCGATAAGATAGGGGGATAATAAGTGATCTTCCAGAATTTCCCTTTTCAAGGCTGCGATTATGACAGCTTTTTGATGAAGAGATGCAAATAATTCACTACGTTATATGAAATCGAAAACTGCTAGTATTTTCATAAAGGTGTTCATAGGAAAATGATCAATTTTACTAGGATTTTGATTTTTAAAAAATCTCATTTATGAATTAAAAAGCAAGGGGTTTATATAAAGAGAATATTCTAATCTGCTTGAATTCCTGCGAATTCTCTTTCATCAAAGCCGCCTATGAAACTAGTATTTCGACAGTTAATTGAAATCTACTACAAAAAGATGAAAAAACCTTTCGTAAATATTTTTGAATGGTTCTATGATAATTTTTCATTCTAAAGGTATCTAACGAAAACATTTAAAAATATAATCTAACTGCCCAAATGATACATGGTTTTTGCTTTTCTTTATCCTACACACCAAAAACCATCACGAAAAGATAAACGCGATTCACTAGGTATATATTCTTATAGGCTTTTTGATTTATATCAATTTCGACCTCGCGTTTGGTTTACTCAACTACAGGCAATTTCAACAAAAATAGGAATATTTGGATGTGGTCATTGTTTTAATTCCTTGCACAGTCTCAATTTAATTATAAATACTAGCACAATCTATTTTAAAATTATCACTACTATATTGTGCGTTTTGTTCACAATGTCTTTAAATACACAAATATACCTAATTATTCTATTGCGAAATGATTGAAAGTGGGGAGAATCTGCAAACAACTGCTTGTGCTTATAAACTCATTCACAAAGAATCATTGGTATTGTGTCTAGAACGGATTTAACGATGAAAGAATAGGTCAGGCAAAAGAATGTCAGTGAAAAAGGTTTGTTCTGGTTGTGTTAACGTTGCCTCCTACTTTGTATGACAACTGTGATTATGATTATAGAGTATGCAGATAATTTAGGTTAAATGATCATTATAGATTAGAAATGCTGATATAAAATCATAGAAATGACCGAAGCTCTTAACTGCGATGCTTTCTGTTATTGCTTTGGTCAGATGTCACCAAGACCTGATTAATACCAAAACAACAATCATCGCGACTCTGTTTTTTTGTTATTTTATGATATGGTGCAGAAATGACTTATAAGCGATGGAAAAACAAATTCTTGTAGAATGTCTAATATATTGAGACAATTTTTAGTATAAGAAACACACATTGTTTGTAACTACCTTGCTTCGGGTGCATAAAAATTCAATGAAACTGTTAATCCACGAATTCCAAGCAGTCATCAGATTTCAGGATGCTTCCACAGTTTACTTATTTTCAGCTTGATGACTTAATTCTTTCAGCATTGTCTATCAACCCATAGTAGAATCCACTAAGATATTTTGTGTCAGTTGGTTTTTACTCTTCAGTGTTACTGATAATTAATAATATGTTTCCAACAAATGGGAAGAAACTATTTCTATGAAAATCAGGGATAATGAAGCTCCCTCAGGCCTAAATTCAGCTACTAGCCCTATAAAAGTTTCAGGTCGTTTTTTTTCAGATTTTCTGTTGCATACGAGTGATAATTTCTTATTTGGCATAGTAGTTAATAGTTTAATGGCTTGGTGATTATTGTCTTCTCTACTGAAAACCATTTCTTACTTTCTTGAGACAGTAAAAGTACCTCATTCGCCTAGACTCTAGTCGTTTCGCATGGTTACTCTTTTTTACGGAGTTTTTCGCCTGACATAAATTGTTTTAACTGAATGACTTTTAAGTGTAAATGAAGTTGACAAGTGTGACAAAAAATCTTTCACAACTAAACTCACCTAAAGTATTACTTTGAACATTTGCTTTCCAGTTTATGATATGTTCGTTAGAAGAATGTACAAGGAAGTAGAATGTTACTAATAAATCCACTATGTGTAATTTGCAGGTTATTGAGCCTAAAAGAAAATACAGAGAAAAACTGTGAACAAACTGTGGAACCAATCATAAACATTGCAATATATATTGTTGTGTATCAACATCTAAGCTTAGTTTATATATATATATATATATATATATATATATATGTATATACTTTATGAACAAATAAGCTGGTCAGAGAGTATATTCAAGAAAGTTTCAAATGAATATGTTGATCAGGTACTCAGTGCATATAAATTGGTCATGAATTGAAATCAGGCAAAGGAATATTTGTAAGGTAGTCAGTATTTAAGAAGGGTTTCCTCAAATCCTTGAGCTTTCAGCATATCATATGTAATGAAACAGCCTTGCTCCCCATCGTTCGGTTATACACGTTTTGGGAACAGATTTCCCTATAAAAGTTGACAACTAAAATGACCATGAGACAAAGTAAAATGTTTATGTAACAGTAGCTAACGGGACTGTTCATTTTTTTTGAATTAAAAAATGGTCAGTTCCTACAAATTATATTCTAAGCACTGAATATAAACGAGCCATCCGCCTTCCATCCACTACAGCAATTTTCTTCGGTCATCTTAAGATCGTTTCAAAAACATAGAAAATTGTGATTCATGTTTTTCACTTCACAAAACATTAGCAATAATTTGTGGAAAACTTTTGTGATACAATTTACAATTTCTGATTACCTGAACAAAGTTGCATGTACTTTACGTATAACTACTGTACGAAACAGTAGTACTCCATACATAAAAATGATGTGTAAGTATCTCGCTATTTCATTTGAAAATATCCCGTGCCACATATTTTCTCAGAAAAATTTTAGACTTGTAGATATTTTTTAGTTTACGTAAACAACATCTACAGTCAATAACCCTCTATCAATTGAAGACAGAAAACTACTGGAATATCTAAGTTAACCTTGATAGAAGTCAGACAGTAGCAGTAGAAACTAGAATGAGGTTCCTCTTGTTTGATTCTCGCCAGTTGGATGTACCTACCTCTCAGTTATGTTGCTCATAACCACCAAAAATAACGGTATCGTTGTTGCTGTGTCGAAACTTGTGTCTAAACCAATTAAGATCGGTCTGTTATCTAAGTAATAAGAAACCATTTTTAAACCACCTAAAAAAAATTGGCAAACTGCAGGAAGAGCATTTCGTTATTGCACATGTCACATCCACTGAGTTATAAAAAAGTACTAATGGCTGGTGAATAATCAAACAGTATGTCTTCATTTAAGAGCACTCTAATGTTGTCCACTTTTGTCATAAGATTAATCCAATCATAGATCTTCATCACCACAATTCATTTACTAATATTTCAATCATCCCTTAATACTTACACTATGAATTCTACACAGATAAAAGCCTTCTATTTATTTTTGTTAGCGTAGATAACTTTAGCAGTATCTATCACCAAGAGAGGTTCCAAGGAGCTTAAAAATTGGACTACGGACTTTGTCTGTGATACTGCTATTAAAAAACAGACAGCGTGATATTTAACATGAGGTTGGCAAATCTCCCATTTATTTTACTGATAAGTCGAACAATTCAGTTTTCATCTGCGTAGGTACATAATTATTTACTATAGGATACTGATTATTTTCCACTAACGCAAACTAATTGTTTTAACCTTGACAAATGATGAACTTTTCTTAACCAAAGATATCATTATTTAGCAAATATAAATTTCCGCCGAATTCTTAAAATACTAATGAGTATATTTTGTTTTAAGGAACTTTTGAAACAATGCTTATCTGATAAAATACTGACCCTAGCCTTTGATGGTGTTGCGTTGTCTTAGCTGGGTGGCTTATTCGTAGAGCTCTTGATGTCATTCTACACAAAATCATCAGCACAAACTTCTGAAAGAAATTTCGGGTCATTAAGATAGGCAAGCAAGATAAATATGAAGAAAGGCATGCACCTCACTTCGTTATAAAGATTATACTAATGTTGCATGGAATGAAAATAAAAGCTTCACGATTAAGCCATCCAGCTCAGAGAGCACAGCACCATCAAAACGGACCTATCGAGGTAAAAATATCCTGCGTCACCTCGAAGCTGACACAGGGGCGAATATACAGTTTGAACCTACCATACAAATTTTGAAAATGATAAACTAAGTGAAAGTAGCGCATGCTAGTTTTCGGACTGATTACGCAGACATTCATGTGAAATTGTGAGATGTGCCACAGTATCGTACACTGTAGACAAGGGAAAACGTAAAACTAGTCTACTAGCATAATTAATCAATACTAGTTTTCTTCCTAATGAATCATTTTCATTGGCTGCACAGCCATATTTACAGTAATAACAAACAAACAAATGTCTGTTATTGGCTAATAGTTCAAAAGTTGGTCATCGAAAGAAAAGTGTGAAATAGAAAGTCAATTATAAAGTTAGAAAAAATTGCAGAATCAGTATGTTAAGGGAAATATGCAGTCGATTAAGATGATGACTAAAAAGTTAAAAAATAAATAGGTCAAGAAGAATAACGCCTATATGGATCGGTAATCGAGTTAAAGGCTTACGCGAATTTTAATAGAAGCTTGAAGCTATGTTAAAAAGTAGGAAAAAAACAAAGTGAATTCAAAGGGCATAAAAAGTGTGCGGAATTGTCAGTTAAGCACAGCAGAGGCGTCGACAATCAAACAAATCAAGCCTAGGCCCTGCGTACAGAAGAGATTTTCCTTCTTCTGTTTGATCTATGAGCGTCTTCAAAGTTTCGATATTCGTCTCTTTCTTACTGACCGATTGTCATTTTTATTTTTCATTTTTCTTTATGGCTTACCTTCCTACATCGTAACATGTAAGCTCCCATCTCCCATTAGAATTCTCGCAACGCTTTACTCCCACAAGTGACAATAGTTAATGTTACTATTGCTAACGTGTCTGTTGTTAACCTATTAGTCATCAGGTTTGTCAAATGCAACTTTTCCTTATACACATTTTGACTGCGAAATTCTTCTCTAACTCAAGAATCTACCCACTATTTCCACCCAGTACATTCCGTTTTGGTGATTTAGTAATAATTAAATTGGAAATGACCTTTTACGGACAGTGATCACAATTGAATTTTCGTTTGTAATATTTTAAACAAAATTCAGAAATTTCAGCTTTCAGTTTGATGATGGACACTAATTTAGCTTGAAATATTATCAAGATAAGAAAACTCCGATCAGCATGCGTAAACGTTTATTCGAACTTTCAAAATGGGTTGCAAAGGTTCATATATAATCCCATCACTCATTCAATGTGAATACATGAGTAAACAGTACATCGACTTGGGAGTGGAGAAGAACGAAACTGTCGTCGTGTATAAATCTGATATTGAAATGAATAAATTTCCAAAAGATACCGAACTAATGGTAAGATAGAAAAAATAAATTCAGACAGAGTAAAATGACTAACTTAGTGAACCTTAATAATGTCATATATCAATGTTGGATAATCTCTGCGGGGGACTTCAAAGACCACTTTAGCAACGATAGGAATGACCAATTAGTTTTCTTCATTTCGGCTGGAAAGGTAACTTCATAAAATAGAGTAGTCTGAGTGGTTACCCCAGTAGTTGCTAGGGTAGCCTTTAAAGTCACTCTAATCTCACAATGCAGCTGTGAAAGGTGATGAAATATTACGGAAAGTACCTGCCTGCATAATCACTGTCTCCCCATTATCATAGAGAGATTATCTAAATTATAAAAAAATATACTCTGAGGAATTCCTTCTCCTTTATTCTGATACATCGGTTGACTATCGTATGGATTTACCCATGACATCTTTACAAAATACCTGACGAATGTAGTAACTAACATTAAGGCTTGAGTCGGTCTTTCGCCTAAAATCTAGATGACAGATTTAACTTTGACAAAGCATTCACTTCTGTAAATTTGTTTGCTATTTCACAGAACTGCTGAAAAATTTCTGTTACTGTCTATTAATTTGTATTGTATGATTCAGCTGAAATCTGAGCGTCAGCTGATCAATTGCTTATGTATTTCTTACTCGTAAAAACATTTTTTTTACCCCTTTTTGTCTTAGTTACTTTTGAAAATTTTTAAATGCGTTGATCTATTTCTTGAGTCTATCGTGTCTTATTACAACAACTTTGGATAACACAGGTGCAAAGCACTTGTTAGTGAAATTCATCGATCACAAGAATTCAGCCAAACAGAATTCCATGTCTTTCACCATCAGTTATTTTTAATAATATCCCTCGAAAATATTTGATTTTAACCAACCAGTACTACATAGAACAGATCATCACTTAAACAGTTGTTTATATTGAGCTGCACTAGGCATACACTATCAGATAAAGCCTAACTATTGTCAACACACATTTATTATTTTGTTAAACAATAAGGATTTATAACTGTAGAACCAAGGGAAGAAATCATAAATCCTAGATAACTGCTGAATATTGCTGATAGCTCCCCATGATTAGCCAGCTCTGCATACTATCTGCTTCATTGTATTTTATTTTATATCCTACCTTTTTGACTAGTGTTAGACGATAATTAATGTTAATGTTCTAAATGAGACTTAATTTGTTCAAACTTCTTATACTTTCATAGTGACGTTCTTACCAATAGTCTTTTGGTCTAACAAGGTTTTAGGTGACAAATCATAACATTGGATTGAGTCCCCTTGCTATAAAATGTAAAATAATGTTTCTATGGCACAGAATACTTTTGAAAAAATTAATTACAGCATTATTTTTATTCCAATTCATTGGATCCTACTGTTTTTTCACAAATACTGGTTTATTTTATCGCTTTCTGATGGGATAGAGGGAAAGCCTGCTGTTCCACGATAAAAACAGTAATTACTGCATTGATTTTTACATAACCTGATAGATATGAATAATTGTATTTACTAAACAGAGGTTCACACCAAGTATATTTTATCACTTATGCAGAAAGTTAGTTTCTAAAACATGGGTCTTATTGATATTATACTTATGAGCGATGTGTGATCACATCTGTTTACAATGCAATAATATTTCTTACTTATGTATTCTGACCCTTTGCCTTCCGCTTTGTTTACTATTGAAGACATATTAACTAACTGTATACGCTGACTCCGACTCTAATGGACGGTGCGAATTACTGATGCATCGAATCGACATTAGAAAAGTATCTACTGCACAACAGCAACACGATTCTTTTCTATAATCCAGGGAAGTATAAGCTGATGATTTCGAGTTTTTGGAGCAAGAAAAGTCGATTGGTCATATCCAGATTCCTTCTCTGAAATTGCTACGTAAATCTGCAAGCAGTGTGATCTTTATCTTAAATAAAGGATACCTGCGTAAGTAAATTATATTGTCACCTTTTAAATCCGCAAGGATAGTCAGTGGTTAGCAGTATTATGATGTAAGATATAATTCTTGTCCCTTTTGAGGCTAGCCAGCTGGATTGAACTGTCTTCTAGTAAGTGATGTTATTCTTACTGAGACTCGAACCTAACACTCATCTCTTCAAACACCAGAGGGTTGCCCATTAGGCCGCTGGGTCATGGTAGAGACGTTTCTGAAACAGTTACAGCTGTAATGACAGCTGCTATGACTACACAGCCAAGTAGGTCAAACATTAGCATTTGAAGTGAAAGGTTCAGGAATGAATTCTCAATAGCAGTCGACCTAATCACTGGGATGTGTACATACTGCCGACAAGTCTCTTACATGGAGAAACACGCACCCTGGATCCCATCACTAGATAACATACATCATTACTGTCAGATCTTAACTATCGGTGATAACATGACATTTTCGTCAAACTGATTACTTCTTTTGTTTTCTTCACTGTGATAAAAGGGAACCGAAATGATTTCATCAACTCGTAAGACCTGTTTTAGTTTTCTTAAAGCTGAAAATTCTAGTGTTATAGAAGAAACGTCATAAATTTTATCTAATCATAAACTTATAAAAGAAAAGCTAACATTGTTCTTATATATGATAACGGAAAACGACATGTTGTTTTTTCTTTTTAAACAGTGACAATAAATTATTCATATTTTATATATATATATATAACTAATATTTTGAAATTTTTTTGTTGTTTATATGTTTGCATCATAGCAGCTTAATTGTTGATTATACTTTCATGTATACTGTTTACAGGAGCAATAAATAATTAACAATTTATTGAATTGACTTATCGTTTAGTTCTACTCTCTGTGGATGTCCCCTATCTACTGGTTATCTGTTTCTTGCATGTTCATCAATTCCCAAATGATCACATATAGTTTCGGTTCAAAGACAGGTTTATATAATTTGAAATCTACGTGATGCAAGATAAAGTTAGACCGAAAAAGGATGCTCTCTTTTTGTTCTACCAAAAGAGTCAGTCAGTAGAAAAATGACTTTTTGACTAATATATAGTTACATAAATTAACAAAGTTTAACGACGAAGCTTGAGGAAAGATGCTTTAAATCAGAAATTGTGACGAACGTTTGTAGCTGAGTTTGTGGATCTTCAGCGTCTGTTGTTCATTTGGCTAAGGTCCAAGTCGGCGAAGTAAGTTATAGCTGCATTCCTTGTTGCCTTTAAAGTAAAAAAATATAGTGTGTAACCCCAAGCATGTTCAGAGCGAGTGTTCTAGTGAGCTAGAGTTTTGATTGGCAAGAGTCTCATTGTCATGCTAGAAGCCGTTATTAAAGGCTCACAAGAAAGTGAATTAATTGGTCAGAAATGGAAGTTTATAGCTTGCTTTAGTATAACTGAGTGAAGCTCTGATGCACTAGTTGCCAACTCTAACATGATATTGAAATGCTTGCCAACCAAAAGCATAACTCACGGAACAAATTATTTTCTTAAAGCTACAGTTAACAGGTTTTGTTTTTTTCCCTTCAAGGTAACAAGAAATACAGCTACAACTGATAATTTAAATATTCCACTGCAAATATCAACATGTTTTGATAACCATCGATGAATTTTACCATATCAATCACATATTATTTACGTGTAGTAACGAAAGTTATACTAAGTGATATCTGATTATAAAGTATTTGAAAATAGCATTTCCGGAAAAAAAGCTGACAAAAATGGGGAAGTTAAAATTTGAAGCACACAGGTAGAATCATAAATTAGGCACTTGGTATTGATGTACTAGCCAGTAGTTGACCTTTCTGTTTTTTTGGTTATCTCTACAAATATGGTTGTGCAACCCCTGAGAATGATTTGTCGAAAAACATTCTCCTCACT